AAAACGTTACAAAATGTATATGTTTCACCACAAAATGCTATTATGAGACTCATAATAGCAATTTTATAAGAAATATGGACCACAAAGGAAATTTCCCTGAGCACTTCACTTTATTGTGCAATTAGGTTTAAAATTCAAGTTTTCGAAACAGTGTAATTAAGAAAATAGGAATATTCTCCAAGTAACTTTAAACGCCACCGCAACGTGTTTGTTGAAAACTGGTAGAAAGTTGTCATCAAGACCATTATGTGTATACAACTTAGTCGTTTGTTATTAAAGTATACCCCACAATACAAGTAATTTCGAAGCCCGCCTAGAGTTTAGTGGGATAAAACAAACAAGAAATGTAAGAAGGAAGCAAACATATCATGTAAAATCATTAATAAATATTAGAAAATAACGATGCAGACTAGATGAGAGAGTTTTCATAAGTCCACATAGATCTGAATGAATCAGATATAGTGACTTACATTCACTACATTCACACTTGTATTGCGTCACACGCGTCAAATACGTCAAACACGTCAAATACCCGTTATCCCTTGATAAACTTTTATTTAGTGATGCCGCGAGTCGAGACAAGACGAGAGAGAGGCCTCTCTCGTCTCGTCCCGTAGGGCGAGAGAAAACTGTTCTCTCGTCTCGACGAGAAGGCGCTTCTCTCGCTCGAGAGAGCCATTCTCTCGTCTCGTCTTGTCTTGTCTCGTTTCTCTCGTTATAAAAACATATCAAATTTAAATTTGGAAAAGATATACTTAGGACAAAACATAAAAAAAACTGTAAAATTTTGAAGACAATAACAAGTACCCAAATTGGCAATAAGAAATTACCTTGGTATCTCTCTGCCTGTCCGTTTGTCACAATCGTTTTAATTAGACACTATTTTACAAAAACAATTAAAATTTAAAGTAATCAGTGGCCCAAATTGGGTGTTAACTAAGAATGTATAGCAGAGGCAGAAGTTGGAAAGGCTTTTGGTAGGTAGAGAGGGGATAAACGTCACACCACGTCGGACGACTTCGAGAATTTTGCAGTAATGTTCACCTGCCAGTGTCGTTTCATAGAATAAGAACTGGACAATCGCATGTATTTATGGACTATAAATAATAATTAAACATGTATTATAATACCCAAATTCTACATAATTTCAACAATGTATTAAACTATTTACTCGAAATTGTTATTAACATCTAAAAAATAATTTTGTATCGCGTCCACTTCGGTTAAATCCGCCGCAAACCTGTCAAGTTATGTGTATGAAGTAAGAGAACTAGCAAAAGTAATTCCAACTTCTGCACCTGCTATAAATACTTTGTCTTAGAAATCAGTTGGGAGAGGGTATAACTTCATTTGGAAGTTAGAATATTTTTCGTGTGATATCAAATGAAAGCATTTTGAAGCATGTTAACAATATATTATACGTTCGTTACTTTTACTTTTTCTTCACCATAAATAAAAATTGTACAAGCCGTTTCCGAGATAATTGAAGCGTTCCATACTTAAAACTCACTGTGTATATAGAATAGGTGTTTTATAGTTAACTTTTTGACTACCTGAAAATCTGAAATTTTTAAATTTTAAGTTACGATAAGAAATTGAAAATTTTAAAGAAGTAAAAAGTTAATTGCGCGAACAAACTCGAGGGAGCTCGAGAGAAACGAGAAATTTTCGTCGAGAGACACTCTCTCGTCTCGTCTCGAACCTTTTTTCGAGAGAAAATGTCTCTCTCGTCTCGTACGAAATGAGAGAAGACGAGACGAGAGACGAGAATCTCTAGTCTCGCAGCATCACTACTTTTATTGCATGGCAGTTCTATAACGACAAAAGATGGAGCTCATCACCTCGTTGCTAGGAATCAAATATTGATTTCGATTTTGAGTTTTTATATACACACGATATGTCGTTCATTTAACATAAAATATATATCCTCTAATTATTTATTTATTTATTTATGATAGGATCAAAATATATTTAAAGATCCCACAGAGGGTACTAAAGAAATTCGGGTTTAAAATAAAAATATCTTGTTCATACTTTTCATTATCATTGTCACTTCCAAAGAAAATATCTATATCATCTTCTGCAGAATCTTCTTTATCGTTATTTAAAAATTGCACTCTCTTCTTAGTTTGTCTTTATTAATTAATTAGTTTCTTTTAGGTGATTTTGGATGATTTTAGCGTTGATTTGGGTAATTCCAATCTTCGTAGTACACACGTAAATGTTCGTTTTCTTGGGCTTTATTTTAGCGAATTTCTCAATTAGGAGTAACGTTGTAGAATACTTTTGTTTTTCCCTGAATATCCAGTAATCAACTATCATGTTGACGTTCCTTTTTCCCTGGTATCGTTTCTCATGGAATATCGTAGTGAAATCTTTCTGCCTGCTTTTCACTATAGGCTTCTAAGTTTTTGGGAAAACAGTAACTAAGAGAGTTTCAGTATGACATTTTCGAGAAATTATAATGATTCAACAACTGAAATTTTTATAAATCTTCTTTTACAGTTATCCTGTATATTATGTGCGTACAAGGTTATTTGCTCTCAATAAATTTATTATTTTAAAACGTTAATCTTCTCCCCAATTTTCACATTGAAGAGAAAAAAATTAATTTAGGTTTCTCTTCGTTTAATTTTCCTGATAAACGTAACTTCATACTTTTTAAATTAATCACTGCTTTATCCGTTAAATAAGACATTTTAATATTTGATAAAAACTTGATAAGTACTTTTTAGAATTTTACGACCCAACTTGAAAACTAATTAATTATTCTCCTTCATAAATGTGATTTATAATTGCTAAAATATTTTCCATTTTATCATTTATAATAAATTACTTCACAGTTAATTTTTAGCAACTCGAGCAGATGCGATGGCTACTGACTATTACTTCAGAGGTATATGACTAAAGCACGAGCAGAACTAGCAATAACACAGGTCCACAAAAAAAAAGTGGTCTGTGCTGGGTGTTCGACAAAGATTTCCCGACGTATTTTTTACCGCTGAACACGAATCTGAAGTCAAAATTGAGGGTCAAACTGCAAAAAACGGAGAAAAATTAAAATAACCGATAAAATCAAATGGATCTTATCGGTATACTGCTATGTAATCTTTAATACACAGGGCTTTTGGCCTGTCCAAATCTTTATCTATTGTTCTGTAGAGCTTATGTTTATAAAGGACCAATAAAAGACCCAAAACTTGTAATAGCTCAGGTACATTTATTACAATTTTAGGAAATATTTAGATTATTCTGTAAAAATATTTAAAATGACCGTACTAAGTTTTGCATTAGAAATGCTGTTTTATTACTCTCTCATACATAAAAATAGACTATAATAGTAGGTAAAAAATAATATGTTCCAAAATATGTCCATAAAACGTTAAAGAAATTTTTAAATGTGGCACTTAATTTAAAAGCTTTAGCCAACATCCTCAAATCCAATGGAATAAGCAACATAAATTTGGGGAATTTACAAAAAGGAGATGCTCATTTAATTTCACTTGAAAGATATAATTGACTCTATAGTTGCTTATATCACCTAATTTTTATGTTATTTGTTATTATTACTATCCTTTTTCAACATTGTAAAGTTGTAGCATATATTTGGGATATAGATAACATTATTAGTCTTAATTAAAATATATTTTAATAATTACATTTTTTCTAATAATTTTACTATAAACACAGCACCAATCAAGTGTAAGGGGTTAAAGAAAAGGTCCTTTATTTCTCACAAGTCAATTTAATTGGCGACCGGTTTCGAAGCTGTCACTTCATCATCAGGCACCCTTACACTTAATCCCTACTACTCACATATGGCTACCCTCACTCCAAAACAGCACCAATACTCCCAATAAATTTAATTTTTCAAAAGTTGAACAAGTTATTTCAGTACAGGACAAAATCAGTTTCAGTTTTTGCCTTTGCTGTACCTACTGAAAAAAATATTTTCGGATTTTTGTTTTCACAAAATCTCAATTTCAAATTAGAAATATTAAGTGTACCCCTAAAGGCAATCTTATTTCGCATAGCATTTGCGTTTTAGTAGGAGCGGTGAATAATAAAAGGAAATGATTTATATAAAAATCTATTCAAGAAATAAAAGTTAAAATAGTGAGTTAATTCATAGATACCTCGTAACTAACATTTTCTCGTATAATTTTCAAATTGTCTTAAAAGGCTTTGACACTTTTTATATTGATTTTAAGTACTGCTAAAATTTATTCAAATTTTAGTATGTTTTTTTAGGTCAATAATAGAAACTTTCTTATGGGTCTTATTTTTCTAGCTCTACAGGTTAGCTGTTAAAAGTAAGGAGTGCAAAGATGTGCAAAGGTTATTGTAAGTTACAAATTGGTGGAGTACATACAAAAGAAATATGACAATATAAGAATAATTAATGGATCAAACGACTTACCTGACATGTGGCGTAACATAGGTATACTACATGGTTATCTTTGTTTCCACTAACAAGGATGTGAAGCATAATTAATTTTAACTTTGTTCTTTCTGATTTTTAAAGTGGATAAGCCATGTAATTTTTCTAATACCTGTTCAAATCATGTTCACGGACATTCTCCCATCATGTTGAAGGAATTCCTGGGTTATTCAATTTTACATTGTCCTCTACTATAAATTCTTTAAATGCTACGGTGATTAATATCTATTAACACTGTAGATGAACGATTTAAAAATTCTAAGGACAAGAAACATATTCAACAACGTCCTCCTTTCGATGAAGATCCTTTCTTAAAGAAGAGTACCCTCATGTTTTGTTAACCTTTATGATAGCAGTTTAGCTCATCTATTTACTAACAGTTTATACGTAATAAATGATTTCAAATATGTTTTGTGACTAAAGGGATTTCCATTGATTAAATTATAATCGTTTTCGTCTTAATTATAACCTATATTGAGAAAATTTCTGTATAATCATCCCCTACTATTTCAAGCGAAGAAATCGATGTCTTTGGTAAATATTTGTATTTGATTTTCAGGTTCTATCAGCAACATTGACGGTGCGGAATATCACTGTAACAAGACGCAGGTGAGGAAAGTAATTTCAGGAGTCGTCGGTGCTGCCTCTAGCGTCACTTCCATCCAAGTAGCTAATCTTTTACGCCTCTTCAAGATACCGCAGGTAAATGTTAATCTTGATATTATAATGCAGAAAGTTTTAATATTAGGATAGGCTTAGAGGAATAGCACGTCTGCAATTTTGCTGATCTGCGAATATAGCGGATTCACAAATGCAAGATGCATGTATCAATTTTGTATATTTTAAAAACAGCAAAATCCGTATATTTCTTAGATTAAGGGCACGACAGTTTTGTAATAAAGCAAGTCTTCAAATATTTAAAAAGAATAGCATGAAATTATCGTAGATTACTTCAATTTAATAATTGCACTGTAATGTGAAAAATTAATATGTTAAAATTGTACCCAGTATAAAATATTTGAAACATAGGTATAGTTGAATTATTTATTTAAAAAAACGTTTATTACAGACATAATATATGTACTTTATGAGAAATTACAATTATTTTAAATAAGTTTAATAGTAGTCAAAAATGTGTTGCCTATAAAAATAAACAATTTCCCTTATCGAATTTTGCTCATTCTTATAAAAGTATTTATTTTTAATTTGTCTTAAAGTAGTTTATTTCAGTTTACTTTTCATATTGCAATAGTTGATTTGAATTATATTTTAACTTTAAATTAACAAATCCATTCTAGTGTATGTAATAGATTCTAAAAATTTCTAAAATTCCTACTTAAATAATTAGCACTTGAATATTTTCTGTAATATTTTATGGATGATATTAGTCTGATCTTTTAATTTCAACAGAAAAAAAAGCCTGTTCTTTAAATTCTGTAATCAATAAATCACTAAAGAGATGAACTTCGATTATCAGCATCATAATGACAAATAATTGTTATTTTCTCACTTCAAACATAGACAATTATAAAATATCAACTGAAACCAAAAATATTATAATACAACGTCAATATTTCAGAATTTATATTGCATGTTTTATTTCATTTAGTTCATTTAAAAACAATTAAAATAATAAAATGAGTATGATTATAAAGATTTTTATGTAAAAATCGTACTCTTAATAAAGAAATAAGAAATTACTAAAACTTTTATTAAGCTGTGTCAATATATTTTTCCTTTTCTCATCTTAGAATGAGACTTAGTTTTGGCAGCAAGCAATAATTATGTATTTAAACACTCATCTCTTATTTGACTACAAATAATATTAATTAAAAACTGTTTTCTGTTCATAAAGAGTCATTTTCGTTGTGAAATACCCTGTACAGCTTCATACTCTAAATTTTGGATTCAAGTTTCATTATGATGAGACGATGTTACTGAAAGCAGTAGCAACACCTCATAAAATTATTCATGGCAAACGGTTGCTACGTCCGGAAAAGTTTGATACGGTATTATGTATGTAAATAAAGTCGCGGGTAGATTCTCTTTTTTAAGATTTTTAGAATTTAAATATTCTGTCTTTGTATCACTTTTGTTTACTCTTAAAATATAATCATATTTTTTTATAGGATTCAAATCTATAAGGTGTTTCTAAATAGGTCAGCCTTGTTTACGCTTGCCCTATTTATTTCGATAGAAAAAAATTATGAAAATTACTGTTTATATAATATGTATATATAATATGTATATGTTCAATAGTTCAATTTCAGCAAAAAGGTTTCCTGTGAATCAGGAAAATAAATAATATATTGTAGGTTTTGAGGCTATTAACAGGCAAATGATATATTAAGATATCTAACTAAATAAAGATCTACTTTTCTAATTTAAAAAATAACTAAGTTAATTGATTGATCTACTGAGTCCAAGAATAACAAAAGAGAGTCGTATAATGAAGTTGTGTGAAGTATTCAACATTTACGTGGGCAAATACTAATATTAAACGTGGAATAAAAGGAAATAAACATTTAAACGAAAATGGCATGACTGGATCCACAGCTGACGAAAGGCTTTGAATATTGTTATTGGTGATTACCTGAGTGTACTAACTAATGACAATAGAAGATATTATTTATCCTTGGGGAAGTTGGAGTTCAAAGGAAAGCAATCGATTATTGATTATAATTAAAATTAATAATTAAGATAGATAAAAGGTATTCGAGACACTCGATACAATCGAAATATGTATTTCAGAACTACTACGAAAAGAATGTTTATTAATTTACTAATTCGAACGTACGTCGTAGTAGAAAACCAAAATTTCTATTTAAACAAATACTCGTAGTTTGTCTGAAACTTGACAAATAAGTATTTATTACTGGAATCTACTTTGAAACCTCAGACCGATATGTACCATGGGAATAACATGTTTGCCAAATACCTATTCAGTGGGTTTCAGAGAGCTCCAAAAACTCTTCTCTCTTGGCGACCCTCGTTTGAGGTTCCAGAAAGCAACAAAAATCTTACAGTTTTGGCATTATAATAACCTCCAATAATGTAACGTCCTTCAAATGTAATATTTCTATGCCATGGTGGTAAATATACTACTATGATAGGATTATTGTTTCGTCTATTGGTTTATTTAATTTGTTCGATTTCGTATTTTGATTCTACATGATGTTTTAGTGTATGATTTCATTTGAGTACATCATTAGGTATTACAATGTCTATTCATTTTCGTGAGTTTTTCTATGTTTTTCTTGAGTGTATGTTTTTATTATCTTATTAATTAGCTGCTCTTGCTTATCAAATCATGCAAAATTTATAAATAATGATTTACTGATTCAGGCTTAGAAATCCATACCTGTACAAGTCGTAATTGTTTTCCTTTTATTACTACATGCAAAATATCATTGATTTCTGCTACTCTCGGAGTCAACAGGTAAACTGGAAAATTGTAACAGTAATAAATTTGGGAAATCTAATCATGAATGTGTTGGAATGTATCGAGCCGCATGATGTTGGCAACATATTTCTGTCCCACGAGCTCTCTATTCATTACTAGAGAAAAGATAAAATTGAAAATCTATTTCGTACGTGTCTGTTAGGAGTCGAACGCTATTCCGGATTAGCTGATTTATAAGCTAGATTGATTGTTCCGATTTGAAAATACACGTAAAATATGTGTTGTTTGATAGATTTAGATATTTTGCGTGTTTTTGGTTGAAAGAATTAGCTATGACACTACGTGATGGAACAAACAAATTTAATTCATTTTGTTTTTTGCTGTGGGGAAAGTGGCGTTTGCGTTTTTTGTTAAAATAAAAACAAGTAGTAAAGAAATAAAATAAGAAAACAATTTAGACAAACGTTCATTGTGATTTCTTATAATTATTATAATTTTATTGTAAAAAAAATGGTTTATTCTATTCCAGAACGAATTACTGCTTAGTGCTCGGTGGTCTAATAATACTTATCCCAATAAAAATGTGAACCATTCGTATTTTACCAAAATATACCGAAAATGGTTGCATGAAAAACTTCTCCCAGGTTTAAGTGAGCCCAGCGTAATTATTTTATACAATGCACCTTACCATTCTGAAGTATTGAACAGAAGTCCAACGAATTCTTGGACTGTTGATAAAATTAAAGAATGGTTGACAAAGGAACATATATATTAAAATCACAATAATTACGCTTGGCAAATATACATGCAAAACCAGAAACCTTTGTTGTGGATCAGATTATTGAAAGTTACTGTCATCAAGTTTTACGTCTGCCACCGTATCATTGCCAGTTTAATCCCATCGAATATATATGGGGAATAGCAAAAAAATATTATGACAACCATATTGGGCCTAATGGTTTTAGTGACGACGCAGTTCGGGAAACTTGGCGAAAAGCACTTTCAATTGCAACTCCAGAAGTGTGGCGAAACTGTATATCCAAGTGCGAGAAACTAATAGAAGATTGGTGGACTGGTGAAAATAAAATAAATGAAATAACAATTAATGGTGATGACAGTGATGATGATGATGATGATGATGATTATGATATTTTGGATGATAATGACAGATTTTCATTTTTGTTGGCAAGTTCAATTTTTATTTTTCATTTGAAAGTCTCTACATGGAACAAATTTTTGTGTTAGAAAGTATTTTATTTGAGCTAAATAACCCTCTTATTATACACAGACCATATTTTCTGTGTGAAGTGTAATATAAAATTATTATTAGGTTTATAATAGCCACATTAGACCCCATTAATGAAGAAGTTTAATTCTGCTGTCAATGATACAAAAGATTCTCCATTATTATTTAATTAAAAAGTTGTACATTATTTTTCATTTCATTTAACCAGTTAATATTTCCCCAAAGAACAGGTCAAACTTTCGGGTACTTACCTGGAAATACTCATAAAATTTTTAATGCCTGAGGTTAGACATTTTCAGTCTTATTTACTATTTACCCCAATTCGTGATAGTTTCAAAGTATGCCAGAACTATGATAAAACTACGTTAAATTATGGTACATGTGATTTATAAATCTAGACAAATAACCGTTCAGAGCTATAGCTAGAGAAAATTATTTCTTAATCGGATTGTGTTTGGGCCTAAACGAGGGGTAAAATAATATATCTTGTCTAATCTGAAAGACGAGATCTTTTAAGTTTAGCCAGTTCTGATAAATGGACTACTGGACGTGATTTTACAACTTTCACACAACTCTTTATCAAGTAGGACCTAACTTTTAGAAGAGCAGTGTGGAAAAATATATTACATTTTATCTAAAATAGTTTTTAATATTTAAACTTTCATTATTATTTTAATTATTCTAAAATTTTGATATTTTTGAGATTATTTTTTACTTTTCGTACATTGTATTGAAATTCTAAATGATACAGATTCTCTTATGTAGAAAATTAGCAATCTCTTAATTATGACTGACCAAATAATATTTACTTTCGTTTCTACACAACGATGCATATACTCATCTTCTTGTTTTCAGAATTGTTTTCAGAATTTTTAAAAAAAGAGTTAATTAATAATTTTTTTCCTGGTTTACCAGAAAAATACACAACCAAATCACTATTCAGCATTAAAAAATATGATGTTGGGAGTCAGGTAGCAAAATTGGGAGAATATAAAGAAAGTCTTTGTACATTAACATGCTGAAAGCAGTAATTATTTTTTTCTTTTGAAAAGA